TCTTCCATCTTCACAAAGACCAGATGCTCCAAACACATGTGTTATGTGACTCTTCCCAAAAAACGTGAACAAGCATCTCTGTACTCCAGATAGGACATCCACAACAGACCGAAGAAGCAATTCCAGAGCCTACTTTGTGAACGAATGAGTTTATCAGGGTTTCTCCCAGGAGCATGGGTAACTCAAAAGCAGCTGAAATGACCAAAAAGCCCAGTTCATCATGGGGCACAGCTCACAGAAGCCATACCCTGGGTGCTCCCAACTTGCAGGCAGCTCCACCAAAGTCTTCTCTCTCCAGAAACTGTTTACTACATTGTGTGTGCCTGTGTGGTGTACACGTGTGCATGCAGGTGTGCTTGACAAAGCATGCACGTGTGGAGGCCAAAGGTTGATGTCAGGTATCTTCCTCTATCTCTGTCACCTTATGTTTTGAGACAGAATCTCTCACAGACCACCTCCACCCTTTCAGCCAGACAGGCTGGCCAGTGAGTTCCCCAGATCTGTCTGTCTTCAGTCACTCCAAGTACTGCGGTTACAGACGTGCCACTGTGCCCTTTTATGTGTGCTTTGGGGATGTGAACTCAGATCCTCATGCTTGGCAGCAAGCAGTTTACCTCAGCCCCCTTGCTCACAGCTTTTATAACCTTGAGTAGGGGCCCTTGTGAATCTTCTACCTTTCATGAGTTTCCTGAGCCTTGTAAGTTTCACTAGCTTCCTGAGTCTTAAGAGCCTCTTCTCTACCCCAATGTTTTAATTCTGAGGAAAACAGCTACACAGCAACATAAAAATAGAAGAAAAGTTACAGGCTGGGAAGGACAAGGATCAGAGAGAACCTAGTGGACCAGCTGCCCAGCTTCACCAAATCTTGATACTTTACCATATTTGCTTTAGAACCTGTTATTGCTTCTAAGAAAGAAAACATTACAGTGGTAATTAAATCCTGTGTGCTTCTTTTCTGACCCAGTCCCTTTACTTCCCGGATAAATTTAGTATCTTTCTTTGCCTAGGCATGGTTTAATACCTACCATCAAAAAAAAACATGTACACAGCATAGTTTCGAATGTTTAAAACAAACGTCGTGTATCTCACTCTTTCTAGGCTGCCACTCCATGCTCATTTTTCCCTAACGTGTATGAATGTTAAGGGGCATTGCCTTAGTGTATTTTTACTGCCAGGATATTATTCCATTGTACAAATACATCACAATTATCTAACTAGGATGCTGATGATGGATAGTCAATCCATTTCTAATCTTTTACTGTTCCATGCTGAGTGACATTAAACTGGAGCCATAAGCATCTTTTTAATTATTATTTTCATGTTCTGTATATGAGTGCATTGCCTACTTGTATGTAAGCATACCCATGTCATGCAATGCCCACAGACATCAGTAAAGGGCATCAGATCCCCTGGAACTGAAGTTACAGACAGCTGTTAGCTGTCATGTGGGTGCTGGGAACCGGACCCAGGTCCTCTACAAGAGTAGCCTGTGCTCTTAACTGCTGAGTCATCTCTCTAGCCCCAGGCATAAGCATCTTCAGTCTCACTAGATATTGCTCAACTGCTCTCCAAAGTTGTGGCAATTGACTTCTCCATCAACAGATTTTGAGGGGCCCCAGTTCCACACAATAACTGCCTCCACTCCCTAAAACTGACACACTTTTGCTCTTTGCCACACTGCTGGATGTGAAATGGTGCGTGTGACTCGGTTCTTCTCATTTGCATCTCTCACAGGGCCAGTAAGGGTGAACATATTTTCATATTTTTGGCCAACCTGGCCATTTGGGTTTCCTCTTTGTGAATGATCTACTGATGTCTTTTGCCCATTTAAAAAACGTTTAAATCAGTTTCACTTAAGACTTTCCAACACTGACAATTTTTATTTAAATGTATTTTTTTAAAAAGTGGCATATGCCTTTAGTCCCAACAATCAGGAGGCAGAGGCAGGCAGATCTCTGTGAGTTCAAGGTCAGCGGGTGATCTGCATAATGAGTTCCAGGACAGCTGCGGTTACAGGGAGACCATCTTAAAAAGACAAAAAAAAAAAGGGGGGGGGGAACACCCCCTCCCCCCCAAAAAAACCTGTAGTCCACTAAACTAGAAAATCTGAATGAATGAGGCTGGAGGCTGACTCAGTGTTTAAGGGCACTGGCTGCTCATGTAGAAGACGCTGGTTTAGTTCCCAGACTCC